CTTCACACTGAGCTACATACCCAAGCCTTTTCAAACATTATAAGTTTTGAGACAGGTTGTCACTAAGTTAACCAGGCTGGGTTTGAATTTGTGATCTTCCTGCCTCAGCCTCCCAGCATGCTAGGATTAAGGCATGGCCTCCATGCCCAGGTCTTGCCCTTAAAATCCTCTCTGTCTCTTGTGTTCTCTGGTTTCATTGTTATATGTTTATAATTTTTTTTTATTTGTCTAGCTAGAATAAAGTACATTCTGTACTTCTAATTTTGTGTCTTTTATTAGTTCTAGAAAATTCTTAGTCATTGTCCCATAAAAATGTGTCTTTCTTCACACTGTTTTTAAATTTCCTTCCAAAACTCAGATTAAATGTATGTCCGGCCTTGGAGTTGAAGCCCCTCATTCCTTATTATACATTTTTTTGTCTCCTGCTGGTCTACATTTTGGATTAGTTCTTCAGCTCAATATGCCTGTTTACTAATTCTTTCCTCATCTGTTTAACCAAGCCAGTTTTTTAAAATAACTTTATATTTCATTTTCAGAAGTTCTTTCTGATTATTTTGAAAGGCTATCTATCATTTAAAAAATAAACTCTTGGGGCCAGGGAGATGGCTCAGTGGAATAAGTGCTTCCCTGGCAAGCGCAAGGGCCTGAGTTCAATCCCCAAAATAAAAACTAAAAAATAAATAAACTCTTGGTCTTTGCTTATTTTTATACACTTTTTAATTTCACTAATGTCTTATTCATAGTTATTTTATATTGTAACATACTATAGAAATGATCCCAAAAGTATAGCCTTTATAGTTTTTTACACTGTATATATGATCATTCCAGTATCTCAGATTGAGGTGGGAGAAGTGTAGAAATCTTGTTTCATTGCCAGGACTCTCGTACCTGTAATCTGAGCACTGAGGGGGCTGAAGGAGGAGAATGGCCATGAATTCTAGGCCAATCTAGACTAACCTAGTGAGTTCCAAGCCACCCTGAATGACATAGCAAGACCATCTCAAAAGCAAGACAAAACAACATGATCAATCAATCTTACATTATTAACTCTTGACTGATTTGGGATTATTTTCTTTTTTTTTTTAAATTTTCGATTGACATACAATAACTGTATAAATCTGTGGGGTATAAGGTGAGTGCCAATGCCCAGTGAGCACCATGGGCTTCTAAGGAAGCAGCGTCTCATGAGAAAAGTGGTTGCGGACCACTCAGCCTGGCTGCGCCAATCTTAGGGAGGGAGGTCCAGCCTCAACTTCCAGGGAACAACTTGAGAAGAGAGGAAGATGGGCGGCAAAGAAGAAAGACTCAGAGAAACTTAGTGGGGGTAGGAGGAAAGAAGAGTGTCTCTTCACCCTTCAGAGCAAAATCAGGAGCCTTTACAAAGGATTACATAAGCTTTCTTCATACAAGATTAACAGATGTGTTTTTTTATGAGCGAAAAACAATTTAAATTTTGATTAATGTGAGTTCAGAGTATAAACAAAGAGTAGCCATGGAAACTTAGTCAACCATTGTTCTTTCTGTTGTATGTCTGCCCCACTGAAACTGCTCTCAGGGGTTCTTTCTCACTGCCTCAAGATCTTGCCTCGAAACTTCCTTGTTATTGTTGAATGTTCTTGGCTTAGGCTTGGCCCTTTCTGCAGGTGTACAAGGCAGGGGGCATGGAGTCAGCCTCTGTAAGAACTTTACGCACTTAATTAAGTTATGCCCAAACCCTAGGTGATGAGTTATATGCTCTCTTTCCTGTGACTCAGAAGCCTAACAGTCCCCAGGGGGTTGTGGAGACACAGCCGTAGGAAGCTCTGCTTTGCAGATACTCCACACTTGAGGTGACTTTGTCAGAGGCCAAGCTGTGGATGGCTGTCCACAGTGATTCTTTCTGATGCTTCCATAGATTGTGTGATACGATATTTGATCCTCCCTCCTCATTACTTGGAAATATGCTATGCAATAAATGACTATTAACTGTAGTCACCCTATTATACAATGCAACATTAGACCTCGTTCCTTCTCACTATAATTTTCAGCTAGGTATGGTGGTGCTGGAAGGCTGAGGCAGGAGGACTGCAAGTTCGAGCCAAGCCTGGGCGATTTAGCGATGTAGTGAGACCTTGCCTTAAACTCTCTTGTCTCTGAGATCACCTTTTTGGATTTCACAAATGAGATCATGTGGGATTTTTTTCCCCCTATGTCTGGCTTATTTTACGTTCTCCATGCGTGCGAACTCTCAGTGGGCATCATGGGCTTCTAAGGAAGCAGTGTCTCACGAGAAAAGTGATTGTGGACCAGTCAGCCTGGCTGCCCCAATCTTAAAACAGTGGTGCTAAGTATGACCTCTATTCCATTTTCTAGCGCTTTCCAGAACACGTGGCAGCATCTGAGCAGGACCAGGCCCTTTTATGCCTGCTGTCCCAGCGCGCTCCTCCCACCAGGCGGAGGCTCGGCCTTCTCTCCCACGCTCCAGGGGGCTCGTGGCCCTGGGAGGCAGCAGCCGCTGCCAGGCCGTGGTGCTGAGGTGTCCGACTGGTGTGGTCAGCCCCACACTTACTCTGCGTTACTGTCATATGTGCATCTGTTAGTTCTTAAGGAACAGAGGATGTGAGACTTGATGCTAAAGAAGGCAAACTTTAGGGGGGAAAGTAGGAAATCCACCCCCCCCCCCGACCTCTTGACTTTTTGAGTCATGGAGTTGCTGCAGCCGGGCATGAGCACATGACCCTCCTGCCTCAGCCTCCCAGAGTGCTGTGATTACAGCCACTACCACCATGCCTGGCTTTCAGTAAGAAGACATTCTTGCAGCCTGTGTCTTTGAACTTTCTTCTACTTCCAGGGGCCCTGGGTGCTTCATTCAGCATCCAGTCCCTGCTCCAGAACAGAAGCAGAGCAGGGTCTGTTCTCTGCTGCTAGCAGCCTTCAGAATGTTTGCTATATGGGAACTCATAAGAACTCTTCAAGTATTTTCTAGGTTGTGCTATTGTAAGCTCTTCCTTGGTTTTGTTTATTGTTCTCAGAGAAATGGAAGGCGAGCTCGAGGTTGTTTGGCTGTCTACCTCCAAGGAAAACCAAAGGATCAGAGCGCTGCTGCAGGCCACACAGCGGAGAGCAGGCACTCAGGAGGACACCAGGCAAGCAGAGGACCCTGGCCTCCAAGGCGCCTCCCAGGGAGACCTGCGGGATGGCTGCAGCTTCAGCTGCTGTGACCCGCCATCCCCTGCCACTGCCCACCAGAGCCTGCAGGAGCCTGCGGCTTAGACCTGTGGGCCTGCAGGTCTGGGGTGGGCGGCCCTTGCCCCAGGAGAAGGGGCAGCATTAAGGGCAGCTTCAGAACCCCACCCAGCACTACAACACCAGAAAGAAATAAACCACCCCAGAGGCTTAATTGCGTCTTTACATTTTGCCTTTATTTTTTAAATTGTACTTTAAATTTTTGCATTATTGTATGAGGACTGAACCCAGGGCTTTTGCACTGAGAGCCATGTCCCCAACCCACTTTCATTATGTTTTTATTGTCTCACTAAGTTGCTCGGGCAAGATAAACTTGCAGTCTGCCTGCCTCAGTCTCCCAGAGTGCTGCGGCAGCTCTCCACTGGGCCTGGGCAGTGTTCGCTTGCCTGGTAAACACATCGAGTGTTGTACAAAATGGGCTCTGCTCCGTTCCAGCCTTCTCTGTCCTCTAGGGAAGGGAATTTCCTCTGCAGCTTGGTGGCTTCCTGCTGATTTGAAGGCAGCCCTGCTTGGAACACCCAGCTGGGCTCCCAGAGAGACAGGTGGGCCGCGGCTGTGTTCCACTTGGCTTTGTGTGAATTAGATGGGGCCAGGCCTGCTGGGAGGACTTGCGACATTGGGCAGTCAGGGCTGCCAATCTCAGGTGGGTGGGGTGGGCCCTGTCAGGGACCTGCTGCCCCTCCTGGCTGAGTCCTGAGTTTCTTTAGGTGTGAAGTAGCCCCTGTTGAGTGCAGAAAGTACACATGTGATCTTTGCTTGCTGATGGAATGGTGAATTTTATATATGAAGCCCATTCAAGAGGTCACTTATCTTAATTTTTCTGTATTTTACAAAGAATAGGAGCACACTGCAGGGTTAGAAGTGTGTACCATCTCCCAAAGAGATGGCTTAGCAAGCGACTCTGATATTATTTCAGAGGAACTTAGCCAAATGTCCACAAGACGTCCCACACTCTGGTGGCCTGAGGGGAGGATGGCAGCACTATAGAGAAGCACTGGGGGCGGCCCCCTCCTTCTCACCTTTATAGAGACTCTGTTGGCTGGTGAGCACCCTTACATTTCTGCTGTAAGTTTATCACACATCTCAGCCGTGCTTTGCAAGTTTGGAGACCCCTGGGCCACATCATCATCAGGACAGAGGTAAGGGCTGAGCCTCACTGGGTCACTGCCGCCTTCCTGCTGGCCACTGCAGGGCGTCGCTGGTGGCAGTGAGGCCAGGATGCAAAAGAAGAGGCAGCTGGAAAAGTGGAGAAAAGACAAGGCCTCCAGTGTTGGGCTTGAATAAAATCAGCTGTTTACAGATTGGACAGAGATAAACAGAAAACACACACAAAACCATTTGTTTATAAAATCAGAGGGCACCCAATTATATTTTGGCCCAATTAAGTTATAATAACTTTTTAAAAATTATATTTGGTACAGGGTCTTACCACGCAGCACAGACTCCTAGTGATCCTCCTGTTTTCATCCTCCCCAGTGCTGGGATTACAGGCATGTGCCACCACGCCTGGACTCTGTCGCAGGCTCAGCACACCCAAGGGTGGGGCTGGCACAACTTGATGTACCTGGGATTGAACCTCGGTCCCTGCATTTGCCTAAGCAGGTGCTTAGTCTGCTGAGCTATTTCGCTGGCCGTATAATAACTTTTTAAGTTTGTAATTATAAAAGGACTAGTCAGAACTTCTTGTAGGTTCATTAGTAGAGGTGTCTTATAAACAGAATTTGAAAAACAAAAACGTCTATATTTTTAATATTTTTTTCTTAATACTGGCAACTTTTGTATCTCTTCTGTATGTAGCTTCCAGTCATCTCCATACACTCTGTTATGCACTTGGACCTTTCCTTTTTTGTTGTTTTTCTTAATAGTGTTTTGGGGACTTCTGGGGTACATATATATCCCACTGCAAGAATAGCTAGCTGTTCCAGAGCGTGTCCCATCAACTTTGTCATCACAGGCACACGAGTTGCCAGACCCCAGGGCAGTGTCTTCTGCCCAAGCCTTTGGCAATTACTGATTACTCTCCAGTTTGCAAGTGGGGCCACCAGCTGGGTAACTACTGGGTAAATCTGCATCAGCATCTATCAAAAATCTCACAGGCTTTTCCCCTACATTGGCAGTTAATGTGGGTTCCTGGGGCTGAGAGACAGAGACCCATGACCTCATCAATCCGAAACCCCTGATTCCATTACTAACGCTTTCTTTTTTTTCCCTGCCTGGCGGCTTTGGATGTTCTCACTTGAAATGTCCCTTGTCCTTGCAGTAGGCACACCAGTCTGGATCCAGGGAAGGGTGATGACTCCTCTTCCCTTCCCTGGATCCCACTGGCCTTCCTTCCTAGAGGCTGTATCTCGGTTACTTTTCTCTTGTTGCTGGGACAAATACCCAGCACCCAAAATTAAGCAAGGAAAGGCTCTTTTTTTTTGGGGGGGGGGGGTCTCCCTTAAGGACAGGTCTAGTAAGGCATGGGGAGCTGGGGATCGAACCACGGTCCCCTGCACCTGACTGGATTTGCCCCAGCAGGCGCTTAAACAACCTCGCTAACCCAGAGCCCTAGGAAAGACTTATTTGGCTCACAGTTTGTGGAGGTTTCAGTCCATACTTGGCTGGCTTCAAGGCAGAGCAGCACACAGCAGAGGGCAGCAGTTCATGGCAGTGGTAAACAGCAACACAGCAAGAGCACCGAGGCAGGAGCAGTGGCAGCAGCCGAGGTAGACAGCAAGCCTCTCTCCCTTACTCAGGCTGTGGAGCAGGGGTAGCTCTCACACCTGTAACCCCAGCACTGAATCATGAATTAATCATGAACCAGAAGCCCACCCCAATGACAGCATGAGGTGCTGGGGGACAACTGGACACAAACTATAGCAGGCCGTTGGCCTGACTTCTCATTTCCTGTCTATACTTCCATTCTTCCGCCTTCTTTATTATGAGACACCTTCTGAGCAATTTCTATCAACTGAGACAAATGTATTTCTGCAAATCCTTCTAACGTGCATTTTGCCGGCCCCCCCCCCCCCTGATGGGGACTGGACCCAAGGAAGAGACTTCTTTCTCTGATTCAGGCACAGGCTTGCCGGGAGGGCTGGGAAGCTGAGGAGTCAGAACCCCTGTGGTGTTTCTGTTGTTTTGGCACACAGGGGTGCATCTGCTGAGGTGGATGGGGGGGGGG